CAGGAGCAGATCACCAACGTGTTCTTCGATGACTGGAAGGATCTGGGAACGTCTCCTGAAGCTGACGACTGGTCTGGGAAGGTGTCCGAAGGTCTGACGCTCCATCAGGCCTTCACTGACCAGGTGTACACGAAGGACAGAAGAATCAGCTGTGTCAACTGGCACCCTGCTCTCTATGGTAAACTACAGAAAACCCTGTGTGAATGTAGTGAGGGAATGTTGCACTGCCAAATAATGCAACGTGAGAGATCGTCAGCTCTTTACAATTCCCTCATTCATAAAGCAGATCCTTTATTAATCACTCATTTACATTATTTTCCACCTGTCATCACCCACAGAAAAGCTTTCTTGTTTATAATATCATTTCTGTAACGTGAGTGTAACGTAAATATACAAAAGGATAAAGGTTGATCCAGTAACGTATAAAAAAAAAAGTTTTGTGTGGTGTGATTCTTCAGTGTCACTGATACACTGCTGATGTGTTTTTGATGTGGCAGGTGTGATCGCTGTGGCTTTGACAGAAAAAAAGGAGCAGCCCTTTACGTTTGATGCCAGACCCTCCCTTATTGTCTTCTTCTGCTTCTCTGATCCTTTTAATCCACAGGTATGGAAAAGCCATGAGAACGCTGCGTTAAATTGTTTGTTTTTTTGTCTTCAACTAAAAAACGGAGGAGGAATCAAAAGAATAATTTATGGGATAGTCTAAGGTGTCTCTGTTTATTCTGTTATGGAAAATCTGTCAAAACATATTCTGAAAAAATCCACAGGAAGGTTTTTTATGATAAAATACTATATTCCCTTTTCAAGGCAGCATTAGCACAACTTAGTCTGCAACTGAGTTTTTTTTTTAATTTCCCGAGATTTTTTAAGAAGATAGCTGATCTTATTTCCTTCAATGACTCCTATCAGAGAGCACTGCATTATCTTTCAGTATCTCATGCTACTTCTTAGCTATTCAATGCAACCAGAAGCTGCTCATAAGTGTCTGCAAAGTAAAAAAAACAAACAGCCATTTTTTCTTCATGTGCTGTGATTGAAAACCATTATTATGTTTCAGTAAATTTGAGAAAACCTATTGATTTAAATCGAGCCCTCGAATCAATAAAACTGATCTGCTAAACGACTCAAAAGAAATATGAGATCTGTATGACGTGTGTCTTCACTGGTGCACATTTCAGACTCTGGTTTCCATCTGCAGTCACATAACAAATTTTACTCAAAGCAAATGTAAACTAAATCAGGATTGAACAAAATCTCACACTCTTGTACGTTCTAGGTTTGTAGATTAAACGCCTAACATTTGTGAGAATGAATAAATACTCTCATGGCAAGAACCCAAGATGTGGATACTTTAACTTTGAAATCTCTCTGTTTGGTGCTTGTGTGGGGTTTTTTCAGTTGCTGCTGGAGTGTCCAGATGACATTTTTGCCTTTGAGTTCTGCCCATCGGATCCAAACATTATCGTTGGCGGCTGCGTGAATGGCCAGGTGCGGTCTCTGACTCTGACTTTAGTTTTTTAGATTTGCTCACTGACTCATCATGAGACGAGAATTATAAATATGTGTTTATATCAAAAACAAGCCCTGCTGATGTTCTTTGTGTTGTCTCAGATTGTGTTGTGGGACATTTCTGCTCACGTCACCCATCTACAGTGGACGCAGTCAGGTGGTAAAAAGGTCTCTGTGGACAATGAGACATTTGTAAGTATCCATGTGTTGTTTTCCACCTGCCGTATCAGCTAATGTAATCCTACAGCCAGTGATGATGTCAGAGTTTGTGTATTCAGGCTGAGTGAGTGATATCTGCTGTGAAAACAGAACGTATTCTTCAGTGGAGTTATACGACAGAGTGAGATGATGATACGTTGAATCGTACGCACCCCCATCCTCACCCTTTCATTAGTGGGGAATGCAGCGGCTCGATCGTCCTTTTAAATCCAGTCTCAGCGGTCGAAACTTCCACAACATGTACAAATGCCACGACAAGTTATCAAAGCAGGTTCATGTCATCACACAGACCAACATGGCAGTGAGGAACGTCCAGTGAATTTTCAAACAAACACCACAGTCGGACCTGTGAGAAAAAAGAAGAATCAAAGAAAGCTTTTAAGAATAAATCTCCTCTACATAACGTCCACTGTAAGATTATTCTTCTGTTTGAGGATAATTAAGTAGTTTATGCCCACGTGAAATGTGTTGTTTTTGTTATTTTTACATCAATTAGTTAAAGGTTTATTGCCCCAATTTGTGAAAATTACAGAGTATTTCCAGACTACCTTTTAGCATTCTTTGCTAATTTTAAGTTATTTTTTTATCTAACCCAAGCAATTTCTAAGACTACGATTACACACACAGGTTTTTTTATTTTTTTATCCATTTTTCATAGTTTTGCAAGTCTGTACATATTTTTGGGTTAGGGTTAGGGATTGCCATAAACATTGAATTTGGTCAATGTTAAGATATTTTCTATTCTTTCCAATTAACTTCTATAAATGTAAAAGGAGAAGAACGAGCTGCCTTTGAAAATAGAACTGAAGTCTGCTCTGTGATGACTACTTGTGTTTGTAATCTTCTTAAAATTCCTAACAGTTTCCAGTTTTACTTAACACAGAGAAGCTAAATGTGTTTGTCTTAATCTCACCAAAATTGAATGGCTTGAATTTAGTTAATTACCAGTTAAGCTAAAGCTAAAGAGTAAATTAGTTTAAATGCATCCATTTGTGTGCCACTTAATTACAGCCTGGAGAATCACAGCAGGAGCTGCTGTATTTTTACATTATACATTCTCAAATCTATGACTTTGTCAGGTTTAAAGGGGAAAAAAACCCCATAAAAAGAGGTGGGTGTGACCCAGGGGTAAACTAGCATCTGTGTCAACTTTTTTTTTATCTTTAATGTGTTGCATTTAATTGGATTGCAAATGAATCAAATGAATTTGACTTTGAAAAGCACATTAAATTAAGCCCTTTAACTTTTATTTAAAAATGAACTTTTTTGCTTATCACTATTTCTGTTAAGCCCTTTAACTTTTATTTAAAAATAAACTTTTTTGCCTTTCATTTTTGGGCATTTTTAGACCCTGTGCCAACTGTAAACACACTGGAAGTAGGTTTTTTTGTAGGGCTGAGAAAACCAGAGGTCCAACAACCACACAGAGCAATAACACAGGGCACAGATTAAAACCCATATAAACACCAAATATTTAACAACATTAGCCTCATAAAGCCTGACCTCCACTCACACCTTCCAGCTGACTGACATTTTTAAATAGACACATATGCCCCACGGCCCTGCCCTCATTTCCTTTGTGTGTTTTTATTGCCTCTACAGTGGAACAGCTGTCTCCATCCCTCTCCTCTTCACATCCTCCTCTACAGCTCTCTCTCCTCCACCTCCCTCCCTCTCTCTCTCTCTCTCTCTCTCTCTCTGTTCCGTTTGCTCTTCATTAGCCAGAGTAAACAGCATCAGCAGCACAGGCTCACACAGTCCAGCTGTTACGCCGACCCTCAGTCGACCACAGCGGTTTGTCCCCGTAGATAATACGGCAACAAATCAGATCACTGCCCTCTGCTGTGTTTGCACTGTAAACAGAGTTAACGGTTGAATCCGTCATAAAGGCAGGGCCGCGGCTGCACCTGTTGCTTGAATAGATGATGGGAAGAAATGACAAACTCTGCTAAATCTATTTATTTTTATATTTATTATGTTATGCAACAAGACATTAATATGCATTTACCACAATTTCCGGACTATAAGTCACACTTTTTTTCATCCTTCAGCTGGGTTTGCGACTTATACTCAGGTATGACTTATATTAAAATATAGAAATTCACATGTTTGTTATTTTCACACTGACAGCCGTTAGAGGGCAACTTGTTATACTCCGGAGTAACTAAGTCTGTAAAATACGGTATTTACTTTGAATAACTAAAAGTGAGCTAAAAAAGAAAAAAAGACAACAAAAGGAATAATATTATATAGACGTTAGTGTGTTGTTTTCTAAAACTTTGAATGAACTTGAATGAAAAAAGCCCATGTGCATTACTTGTTTTTTCAACCACTTTTATAGTACAATATCACTAAATGCAAAGTAAGTGTCAATGATCTAATCACATACACAGTGTGACACCTACTGTGACCTTTTATGTCTGACCTCACACCAGGACCTGACTGACATCAAAGAAAGTAAAACGCCTGTTGTCCGCTACTGTGCAGTGTCCGCCGTGGAGAGCAGCCACAAAACACGGATTACCGACGTCCAGTGGCTGCCGCCAACATTTGAGGTACACACAGCTGGAGGGGCGGGGGTTGGGGGGTTCAACGAGTGCAGCATCAGAGCTTTTCTTTTAGCCCTGCAGAGGAGCAGGTGCCAAATCATATATGGTCTTATTTCACCTGGTCTGAACTGAATCTAAATAAACTTGACTTCTATGAAGATTGATGCAATCTCTGATCAGGTGACCAGGATGGGCGTCCCAGTGGAGAACAAGTTCAACACCTCCGTTCAGGTCGTCTCCTGCTCTCCTGATGGGTGAGTCTCAGACAACAGGTCCTACCAGACTCACTAGTTAGTACTGGAACTAGTCAAGGTTTTTGTATGATATTTGTTCCCTTAGTGATCTGTTTGACGGTTTGTGTTCCTTTGTTTTTGTAACAGAACGCTAATGTTTTGGGATGTGCGTTTGCCAAGACTGCTGAGTCAGCACGCCGCTGAGAGGAAGCAGACCTCAGATGAGAAGGCCCACCTGACGCCCTACAGTGTACCTGACACCTTCAAACACCTGGACCGCACATGGAAACCTCTGTTCAGGGTACTGATGAGTCAGCCTTGTTATTGTAGAAAAATATAAAACTCAATAACAGGAAGTCCATTTTTACCTCAGCTCATTTCAACGCCTACTGTAACCTTTTGTTGCAGATGAAGGATTTTCTGTGTTGTTGTCAGCTCGTCTTAAGAAGAACAATAAATGTTTCAGGTTTCACTGCCAAAGATCAATACGAGTGGAGAGTACACACCTTTGAAGTTCAGCCTGGAACAACACTGCTGCGATGGAACCACAGAGAGGAGGGCAGGTGAGAGATCTTACCCTGCGGCAGCTCCAGAGTTAGGTGTTAGATTTACCTCCACCCACACTTCCTATTTACCGTTTACACAATAAACACATTTCTCTAACTGTTAAATACAAAATGCTTCATGTGGGCTGTCAATGACTCACATTTCAGGAAGCAACAGAAGACTTTTTTAAACTCATAATTAGCACTGGACATGTGAATGTGTTATAACCACAGCTAAAACACTGTGAGCCTTTTTCTCACCGTTCTTGTTATTATTTTATTAAAGTTTTTGCTATATATATGTGTGTGTATATCTATATAAATACACATATATCCATATATACTACATATATACAGCTATATATGTATGCATATATGCGTATCTATATATTTAAATATGTGTGTTTTTGTTTGGTGAACAACAGAATGGTAGCAACTAAAACTTTAAGGAACTGTCCTTCAAAAAGTGAGTGCCCCTTTATTAGTAAATATATGACTTAACTTTTCTATAGGTGAAGATTTACACTGCCTGCTTAATGACGGAGTGTGCTGTTGGAACATTTGCTTTTATCTGGCTTTATTCCTGTGAACTATGGCAATGAAATTTAAATGTTTCACATCAATAACTATAAGATTAAATTCTCAAAATAAGAGACAGTGTAAGAAAAGGTCCACTACTTCCTCTCTGAGGATCTGAAGTGTGCTCTTCACCTTTTTTGGGGAGGATCAGATTCTTTCCTCTGCTCTGGATGGTTGAACACAGTGATCAGTGGATCGGGGGGGACGCGACCCTCAGGTTTTGCCTTTCTCTGTCTCCTTCTTCCCTCCTCCAGTTTCATAGCACTTTATTAAGTGATTCCTCCCAAAACAATGCCCTCACAGTTGAGGAGCATTAGCCTCGCGACTGTCAGCCCTTTGCAATATGGTGCTCGGGCACCTTTGCCGCCACAAGACAATCTTCTGTGATAGTATGTGTAGGTGTGTGTGTGTGTGTGTGTCCTGGCCGGTCAAGAAGAGACCTGTCTTTGTCTGGTTGTAAGTCTGTCTCTGTAAACACAGCTTCACTGGCGGGTGGTTAGAAATGAATACGCCTGATAACTGAGGGGATAAATCTGCTGTTTTATTTCCTCAGACTGTTTGTTATTAAGCTCTTAATGAATACCTGTGTCGTGAATGTGATGGTGCTGCTTCAGATATCTGTCTAACTGTGTATTGATTGATAAAACACTCAACTGTCTCCCAGCTCCGATTTGAAACATTTTGTTCTGGGCTTTTTTCCAATGTCACTGCCAGAGGCTCTTCCACTGGCAGTGGTAGCCTCAGTCAAGAATCTCCACCAGACCATAGTTTTGCCAACGATCCAGTGCTGCGGGGGATTAAGGAAACAGACGAGTCGGTAACTGTAGCTTTTGTCTCATATCTGTGGACACATCTTAATTTGCGAGTGAGCAAATTTTGAATTTGTTGGATGGAAGTAATCTGATCTAATCTGAAGAAGTGAGGCTCAGGACATGACTGGGAGTGATCGACGATAAGGCAGTGTGTGAACGACAGTGAGGTTCTGTGTCGTCTCACACACAGTCGGGCTTTTGTGACGGAAAAATAGCCTTTTCCTTCATTACCAGCTCTTCCTTTCTTATAGCTCCCATTCTTTTTTTTTCTCCTCACTGGCCCTGTTCTCAGCACCAGTAAGAACAGTAGCCATATTTCACCGTCAGATTACAGCAGCAGTCACCCACTGTGGTTGCCCGAGGGACAGAATTGTTCTTAGAAAAACACCTTCTGGGCCAGACACTCAAATATAATAAAATAAAAATCACATATTTGTTCTGGGCCAGACACTCAAATATAATAAACACATTACATTATTACTTACCATATTTCACCGTCAGATTACAGCAGCGGTCACCCACTATGGTTGCCCGAGGGACAGAATTGTCCTTAGAAAAACACTTCCGGGATTCAGCTGTGAGCCGGGATTGGCCCTGGTGTTGGTTTTTATATCTGTCTTTACAAGTTTTGTTGTTCTTAAACACTGAAAATACTGTAACTTTAAGTCTTTCTAACTATCCTTCCTGTTCTTCATCTGTTACACAGCAACTCTCACTAATGAACCTGAATCGGTTTGTAATACTAGTATACTTTTTTTTGTTTGTTCTGGATAGGAGAAGCTGATGAAAATGATGAGAACTCCAACAACATCCCAAACTTCAGCCAGCTGCGAATTCCTTCAGCCAAAACCCTTCGAGCGCTGGAAGACATTAACACTAAACTCTACATTGGAACAGAGGTAAACCCTCAAATCCATCAACATAGTCCAACACAGAGGGAAAAAAAAATATTTTTAGCGTAGGAAACATTCCACAATAATTAAAAACAATAAATAATAAATAAAAAAACCACTCATCACATTATCATTACTCAATATATAAATACATATATAAATATGTTACTTAATATCTAAATACATAATCAGCCCTGAGCCAGATGGAGAGAAGTTCCAGACGTGGCCTGCAGCCTGGTCACTTGTGTGTGATACATCACACACTGTGCAGGTTTAGTCCACATCTGGTGTAATATGATTTATTGTGTGTATTATTCATGGGCAGGATGGAGAGATTGTTTACACCGACTGGAAACTGGAGAAGGATGATTCAGGACGACTGCACAGTGAGTTCTCTCCATTGTTGGAGCAAGTTTACACACACACGGCACTGACTCTCCTCAGTAGTGTTAGTTTTCCTAAAATAATGAGAGAAAATGGTCCTGGAAGAGGAGAATGTCAGGATAAGTGATTTATGGAGGGGTTAGTGCTTTTGGCCTCCAGCACCAGGTCCTGATGGAAACGCTCGGCTAACTTTCTGCTAACTAAGTCTTTTTTTAAGTAGTTTTTTTTTTTTTAATTTACTTTTTAGTTTTGCAACAACGTCAGTTGGAAGACGTTTTGTTAAATACAGAAACATTTGTTTTGTTTAGCTTAAAATAACATATTTAATGAGAAGAAAGTAAAACTGTCACCTGGTGTCCTCACCGTGGTTTGCTCAGCTGTGCCGCCTACACACGTCCCTGGATGTCTGTGGGTGTTGGTGAAGGGCAACTGTCTCTGTGGCGCAATCGGTTAGCGCGTTCGGCTGTTAACCGAAAGGTTGGTGGTTCGAGCCCACCCAGGGACGCAGATTGTTTTCAGGATATTTTCCCATTATGGGATCAATGTCTTTCAATCTTAATTATCGGAGAGTGCTCGGATGAAAATCTCTTCTGTTTTTAACCGACAGTCGATCTTTATGAAGTTTAAATTTCCCTCGTGTGTGTGTGTGTGTGTGTGTGCGTGTGCGCGTGGACTCTTAATGTGCCTTGGTTAATTGTTCACTCTAAACTTCTCATAGGTGTGAATGTGAGCGTGAATGTCTCTTTCTGAAGTCCTCCGATCGACTGTTGACCTGTCCAGGGGTGAACCTTGCCTCAATGCCTGCTGGGATAAATGATGTTCTGTTTTGTTTCTCCCCTGTTTCAGGTACCAAACCTCTTCACTGTTTCAACGCCCATCACTGGTTAGTGAACTCAGTGCAGAGATCACCTTTCTTCAGAGACATTATTCTAAGTACAGGAGGCTGGAACTTTGCCATCTGGAAGGAAGGCGTCATGGTAACAACACGCATCAGTGTGAAGTGTGATCAAAACACACACTCTTGACTCTTGACCCCCCCTACTCACTGTACACCCCGCACCACAGGACGGGCCCCTCATCTTCTCACACAGCTCTGAGCAGGTTTGTACTGCTGGATGCTGGTCCCTATCCCGACCTGCTGTCTTTTACATCGGGAAGGACGACGGCAGCATTGATGTGTGGGATCTGTTGGAGAAGACCAGTGAGCCGTCACAGGTCTACGCCCACGTCACCAATGCCAAAATTACCTGCATCAAACCCTGGAGCACCGCCCGTGAGTGTATGACGTCAGCAAAGAGTTCAATAATGGAAACAGTAGTGAAGACATGGTGTTGTTTCTATTCTGTTAACAGTAGTGAAGACATGGTGTTGTTTCATCTCATCCTGCAGTTTTTATGGTCATCGTAAATTCATACCTGGTAAAATCTCATCAAATACAACAGATAAACGTTTTAAATCATTTGCAAATGTACTGAACTACAGACTGATTGGACACCAACACAGTGAACTCCCTGTTTTGACCACCGTTGCTGGTTCATTTATTATCACCACCTCAGTGATGAGGTCCTGGAGTTCATTTACCAGATTTATTTGTTCCAACAGCCAGGCAGCATTTACTGGCAGTGACTGATGACGATGGGGTGGTTCGTGTTTTTGAAATACCAAAGAGTCTCTATGTGCCGTCCAGGAATGAGGTGAGACAGATTTTTTTCTTGGTTTTTTTTTCTGCATTTAACTACAAAAATCTTAAATCTACATTTAATGCAGTCCATACTCAGTCAAACTGTCAGACTCAAGAACACAATATTAAATGGAAGCTAATGCAATTGTTTATTGTTCATGATTTAATGTGTTGTATGTGAGTGAGGAATTATTGATGCTAATAAGATAATATATCTTAATAATAATAATAATAATATTTTTTTCAATAAAGTTTTTTGATATTTAGAGTTTGTGGTTATGATCATCTTCAAAAAAAAGTCTGGCGGCTACCAAAAGATTGAAATAGTTTAGAGCACCGTATTAATTGCTAAATTTGCTAAAATGGTTTGAAAATTCATAAAAAGTGATTTGTGTATCAAACATACTTCTGTTCTGGTCTTTTTTTTATTTTTCATGATAAACCTTCTTTAATACGCTGCTGATTTCACAGCGGAGCTGCTGATTGGTTAATCCCCCCTGTGTCTGTGTGCAGAGTGTGAGTGTGAAGAAGTACTTTGAACGGGAGGTAAACAGGTTGACGGACTATTTGAAGAGGCACGATCTGTGGTCCAGTCAGAAGAGAGAGGCTGAAGATCACAGGAAGGAACTGGTGAGTTTTACTGTTTGGTTCCAGACTGGACTTTGTCAGTTAAAACCTTCACAGACCGTCGCAAAAACACAACGACCTACACACATACACCACACACCAGCAATGATTCGTAAAGAGTAAGACAAGTTATTCAACATTTATTTCACAAGAATCAAAGAACAAATCTGGAAAGAATCATTTACTAACTAGCCTGATGAAGCTCCGTCTCCTCTTCTCACAGAGTCGGACTCAGCATCAGTTCCTGTTAGTCCTTTCATTTCATTTCATTTCTGACACTTGATTTTGGACACAGGCTCTATAATCTTAGTGCATCTTAAAATCTCAAATTTCTGTCAGGGCCCTTCTTTTTATCTTTGTATCTTTGATGTAGACGGTGCCCTCTTGTGGCCACAGAGGATAGGGTGTTAAGTTCTCATACATAAGTCGCTCTGGATGTAAGTCACAGGACCAGCCAAACTACTGAAGAAACACAATGTAGAGTCTGGTAAATATGTTAACCACTAAAATGTTTCACAGAAATGTTGCAAAAAGTTAAAACAGTTCCAAATGCTGTTTATACTAAAATGTTTATAGAGTTCAGGCAGGCAGTCAGTGGAGAGTACAGATTAATGCAGACTGTTATCGTCTACTGACTGAGATAAATACAGTTGTCAAGTTATCGGAGTCGGAAAGGCTGAGTTAAGTTGCCTTCTCTCTCTATTGTTTTTTTCCCTCATGTTTAATTCATTTAGGTGATTATTTGATCCTCTGCTCAGGGAACTGCCAGCGCCTGACAGTCTGTCTGCAGTGTAGAAAATAATACTGTCTGGTAGATGGCAGTAATTAATGCAAATATAACAGCACGATGGAGTAAAAATGCATTAGCAAAAAAACAAAAACAAAACCTGTTTCTCTTGTAACTGTCTCTGTAAATGCACCAATATGTCAATATGTCTTTGTATCAGACCACATTTGAACAAAGATCCATAAAAAGAGATTAAGATTGAAACAGAAGCTATTGTTTTTATGCACATATTAAGTTTATGTTGTCAGCAGAATTTAAAAACAAATATAAAATCAGAATACATCTTTAACTTGATTATTTTATCTCAGGTTCAATCCCAGGAGCCCATCAAAGCTGCGAGGCCGAAGGTGGAGACACAAGATGTGGAGACGAGGGACTACACTGATTATCAGAGACTGGAGGAAAACGTCCTGAAGAGCATTGGACCATAACCACATAGTGTTTTTATTTTTATTTTTTTTAATTCCTTTGCCAAAAAGGAAAAAAGTCTGTTTTTATAAAGGGAAATATCAGCATTTTAATATTTAATTTTTAAAAAAGGAGAAGCTGTAACAGGTCAAGACTGTGCACACACACACACACACACACACACACACACAGGTGTGTCTCAGCTGTGGTCAATCACACACACTCACTCCAGCCCATGTCACTTCTTCATGTCAGTGGATGTGAAAACCAGGCCTTCTGTCTACTCTTAGGTAACAATTCCAAACACTTCGTCACCACATGACACAATATCTGAGATTTTTCCACCTTTTAAATTAAATAAATAATAATTTTTTAATAAATAAAAAGTTTTTAAAAAACTTGTTGAGTTTAAGGGCTAAAGGTTGTGGGTTCAACTCTACCTTTTCACTTATTCCATATTGAGTTTTACACTGATGCCATAGTTATATATACCATATAAAAACCTGCTGTTATATTTTAGGGTCAAATTCAACAGCATTGTTAAATTTTAGGGTCAAATTCAACAGCATTGTTGGCCATTAGTCAAAGTACTTCAGAGTAAATACTCTGCCTCTCCTGTTGTACCGACCTCAACAAATGCTGCTGACATTAAATGGTGAACAGTCTGTGAGTGCAGTAAGTGATGAGATGTTTATGTACGGCTGCTTCTGAGGGTCATGTGACAAGTCACATCCTGATCATAACATCAGCTGCAACCCTGCAGAGAGACGATCTGTGGACATAATTATTCAGATTCCTGGGCCCACCTCAGGTCAAATGAAGTCCAACAAACTCAGTGAAAAGTGACAGCCTGAATACTGGAAGATGAGAGCGGTTGTTGCATAATGTAGCAGCAGATGTCTGTGGTCACTCAGTCTACACTGAGTATAGAAGAACAGATGAACCACAGACTGAAGGGAGGGTCACAGAAGATGATGAATTTGACTGTACAGTGACCATGACTCATTGCATGGATGGTCCTGTCACAGAGTGAAGGAGGTGATGGAGGGTGAAGAAAAGGAGCTGATGTGAGGGCACCTCCAAGCAGTTGTCCATGTGGCCCCTGAGGCACCCAGACTCCCCTGGGTGACAAAAAAGGGGGCCCCAGCTTTTCAGCCAGGTCCCTCAAAACTCTGGGAATTCTGTTTTGCACTCTTTCATTTTCCTTCACGGAGCCCCTCACTTTCTGCCAAATCAGCTCAGGAATGTGACTTCTGTGAACCAACACACACTCAAGGATGTCTTCTTCACTGCGTCTGGGTGATAATTGTACTGACGGATGCACAAAGTTACGCAATCTGCTTAGATAATGAGAAGGAGAACTTGCATAGCAGAGTGGATGGTTGTAGGAAGCAGCACCTGTTAGTTAACGGAACTTTAATTTTCCTTTTTTAAACTCAGTGATTTAACAGGAGATTTTTTAAAGATGATGGATGTGGACAGGTAGACAGTCCATAATATATAAAAAAAACTATTGAAGTTCTGCCCAGTATGAGGGAACGGACACTGAGCCTCAACAGGGTTTAATGCAGTGTGATTGACTGTTAAGTGGATAAACAAAATTCAACACTGGATATTTGACCATTGACAAGTTGAGCTTCTGTTGCTCTGAGACCATTGGTCAATGGAGGACCTAGGCTGGTGGGTCATGTGCAGTGCATTCAACAAGCAACAAGTTTCTGCCTTCGGCCAACAGAGGTTTCCAGAGACCAGATGTTTTTTAACAATGTGATTGTGATTGAGTCTTGGGTTGTGGATGACAACATCCTTGAGTCTGAGGACTCTTACGGTTGTGGATGACAACATCCTTGAGTCTTAGGACTCTTACGTACAACGGCCCTAGTGTGAGTGCACCCTAAGAAGGTTGTTGGTAAATTCAGAATTGACAGTTGAAGTTGAGCACAAAGATCAAACGATTTCCTGCTCAATAACAACCAGAATAAATCGATCTTTGTTGGATAGAGGGCGCTCTTAGTGGATTTCTCTCTTTACTACTTTCCACCAGATCTCTGTGACCTCCAACGTTAGCCTTTAAGCTTCACTGCTGCTTCAGATTCACATTTCTTTAATATAGGCGGGGGGGCAACCATAAAAACAGAGACCCCCAATCACTCAATTCACATTCATGACGTCCAATTATCCTCAGTTGATTTCTTTATCCGGGTTTAAGAGATTTCATACCTATTAAAATAATCTTTGATTTATGAGGTCGTCTGGTCTTTGGTGGCGGGTTTGCCTGCAGCTCGGTTTTATCGCTGCTTCTTTGATGTTTTTCACCAAATCCTGGGAAACCGTGTGAGCAGGTGTTTGGCAGGAGAGGCAGTAAATCTGAGCTGGCGAATAAAGCCATTGCCCGGGCATTGTTCTGGTTGGCCTCTTAGCTGATCCTGCTGGGGAGGCTGGTTGGTGGGTGGAGGCAGGGCCCTCCGTTGCCTAAATCTCTCTACATGGGGGCCACGCTGCACATTTCACACACAGTAATCTGACTCGAGACCAGCTGTAGACGGAGAGAGAGACGCAAACGTGCAACAACAACACATCCTGCAGGAGGTTGATGTTGAGGTTGACGGAGGCCAGAGCAAAACAGGGAAATGATGTGGTTGGTCGGTTTGTTCCGACACGTCGCTCCACCTGTCAGACCTCTGCCTTCCCCCTGTGAAAGATAATTGAACTGAACATTTCCTTTCTCTCACAGAAGAATGAACTTCACATCTCTGAGGTTGTTGAACCCCAGAGGTCATGTTTTTATACCACACTTGTTGCTGGTTGCCTTTAAAGCGGCAACTGTAGGGCTGTGAATGTGTTAACATTTAGTTTCTGATCAATCTTGGGGCGTCTGTGTATTAATCATCGTACTTCTACTAATTTTGGTGTTGTTCTCCCCTTGTTGACTTGGTCTAATAACAACTGTGTTAAACTTACAGTGTGTCACACTTACAGTAAGACTCACAGCAGGAGTCGTCCTCCATTTAAGGGGTCTGCCCCTCGGCCCCTTCTGCTAAAACGTACGTTCACCCCTGCAGTAAACCCTAAAGCTGTGTCTCCTTAAACCTCTGTCGGTGGTTTCATAAGTTGACCCTTGACCTTATAGTAGATCAGGTGACCAGGGCACTGCTGTGGAATGTTCCCCTTTGACTTCTCTTCATTTTCTAATTTCAAAGCTCTCAACACTTTGGATTCTTGGCATTTTAAATACTCCAAACAATCAGTTGAACCCGATTAAAAACGTTCGAGCTAAATCCTTCACGCTGATAATGTTACGACAGGCCTTCCAGCGTACTAATGTTACACAGGTGTAATGTTTATTATTGCAGCCGTTTAAGCTTCTTACCTTCTCTGAACTCTGGAGGAGTTGAAGCTGGAGTTAGTTTAAACATTTGGAAAAGTGGCATCGGATATTTTCTGGAAATACCCCCAGCCAGCTTTAAAGTATAATCACCAGGTGACCTCAGGGTGGGGGGAGGCACACGGAAGGAGAGCTTTTTGAAAACCAAGGACCCTTTCTTCGTCATGACTAGACCAGGTGTCAACCCTTCACTCAGAGTCTAACTGTTCCAGAGAATATTTTGATAAGGGTTCATGAGTTTGTTCTAAATACAGTGGGACCTCGAGATTCGATAATCCGTTCCAGGACTCGAGGTGCTCGTATCTCGAAACATTTTCCCATAAAAAATATCTCTTCCAGCCGCTTTAGGATGGTACTTATCGTGGATGTAGTGCGATCATACATGCGTGCTAGATCAGTCACGCGGGCAGGCCGCTTTAGGATGGTACTTATCGTGGCTGTACTGCGATCAGTCACGCGGGCTCCACGCAGCCTGTGTTTTCCTGTTTCTTAATAAATTGCTTTTAGCACCTGGTGGTCGTCATCCTCACTGCAGGGCCGTCACACAGCAGGCGGAATAAGTTTTACTGCTGACAGCAGCGAGTGCTGTGCTGACAGGAGGCAGGCGATAGCATACACGAAAATACCAAGTGTATCACTTCCTGTGAGGACAACAAAGTTATCACTGCATCAGCATGATGTCAAAAGCTGCACGGAGCAAGAATCAGAACCAAAGTTGTGTCACCTGCAGGTTTTATCAAACTGCTGAGGCCCAAACCTTCCCACTGTGCCCGAGCACAGCTGCCTTCTTTCAGTCTCACCTTTCACATTTTTCACTCTCCCATCAAGCGGAGCCGCCTTCTCCCTCATCCTTTCCTCCAAATGAAAGGAGATTGCTCTCTTCTGGAGGAGTGGGAGGGAGAGAGGGGTGATGAGCAGCTTACCTCCAGCAGGGATTAGCCTTATTAAAATGAAATAGTCTAGTCCTGAGTGACAGAGCAATGGAGGTGAAGGAGGGAAGGAGCAGTGGAGGACGGAGGAGAGGGCTCGCTACGTTGTGTGAGGCCCCGCTCCTGAGGATCTGAGGTGCCGCTCCTCGTTGTTCCTCTCCTGACTCCTTTCTTCACTTTCACCTCTTGCTCTCTCCTCATCCTCTCTCCCTCTCCTCTGCTCTGTTCTCTCATCATCGCGACTGATCTGTCAGCGGGGCGTCAACAGATCTGCCCGGAGTCTCTCTGATGAGCTGCCAAGTACATGGGCTGCCGACCAGAGAGGCACAGAATACCCCACTCAAAACAGAAAGGATGGAACCTTGGTGAAATATGTTTAATAGCCCTCGCATTGAAGAACCCGCATGTTTGGAATGTGCCGAGTCCGGGTCAGAACATTAAGGTTCCCAGCAATTACCCAAGACTAGGGCCTTTCTCAGTGCCCTCAGAGTGTAAATTACCCAAGACTAGGGCCTTTCTCAGAGTGTGCAAGTTTTGGAAACTTACGACAACGTAGAAAATACACATTTTCCTCTGTCTTTTTGCGTGGGTTTTCTCCGGGTACTCGGTGTACTCCTGGTTCCTCCCACAGCCCAAAAACATGGTCTTTAGGAGTTTAGGTTGATCTTCCACTCTACGTTGACCATAGGTGTGAATGTGAGTGTGAATGGTGAATATGTGCTGCCCTGCGATGGACTGGCAAACTGTCCGGGGTGTAACCCCCACACTCACCTGTTGACGGCATCATGGGATCAATCTTGGGATCAAGTAAAATTCTTTACTGATCCTTCAGGAATTATCCTACCTTTTTTGGGAGGAGGGCAGGTGAAGTACTCGCACATTATAGCGTGTATTATGTAGACATTAAAAAAAGCTTGAAACAAATCTGGTGTTTGTCAGCTAAAGGCCGAGAGCAGCAGAGATTAGAAGAGACGAGAGAGGGAGAAAAAGACTGGTTTCACATGCAGGTGGTTGTCAAGGATGTTTACTTTTACAGACTCGTATCTTCGAGACTCTCCGTCTCTCTCTCTCTCTCTCTCTCTCTCTCATTCCACCCCCTCGCCCCTCTCTATCTTTTGTTCTCTCGAATTAAAAAAATGAAACAATACTTAAACAAAACACTTTTGTTTGCGCCAGCGAGACAATCTGATATCAGGTGACGACCCTGACTCTTCAAACAAGCCGTAAACGACACATTTTTGGAACCCCGATATAAATCTGTTTCATTTGTTCATCTTCTGTTCTTCTAACCATAAATGATGACTAAATGCTTTGTGGCAGGAATCCATCCTGGATATTAAAAGATGAAATAGGGATCGATTTATTCCATACATGACATTTAGTGTCACCTTATTTCACTAGAATAAATTCCAGCCTGACACTAAATGTATAGAAAGTGAAATCTTCACCGGTCTCAGGGGGCGGGGTCTGCAGCTACACTATGTACTGTGTACATTTTGTTCCCTGGAGCTTCGTCATACCTGTGAAAACAGCCATAAATACATGAAGTGAACTCACAGTCGTGACATCAAACAAGGCTGAAAACCATTTAGTGCTGAAAGGCCTGCGGCTGCTTCCACGTCTCGTGTCGGCTGCCAGAGATGTGTATCACCTCAGCTGGAGCCACTGAGGCCCAGACTGTACGGGCTGCTGTTTGACCTTTTATTTTTGGGAACCAACTCTGATTTTTTTTTAGAATTCCCTGCACTACTCACTGACATAAGTTGAGGGTAACACACAGCACACCTCCCAAAGTGCTACGCTGGCCACAGAAAAATGCAGCCCTTCCAGCAGTGAATTTTACATCTCGACAGAATGCAGCTGCATCCTGGGAATGTCCCTGAAGCTGAAAGTCATTCTGGGAGATTCCCACAAGCCGGCAAGGGCAATTCCCAAACTTATTTATCTCTGTCCTGCTGGGGTTAGATGGCAGTGCTCTTACAGCCAGGAGATTATTCTCTAAAAAAACAAAAAATACATTCGAGTTTCATCAAGTTTTAGATAATCTGTTCACATTGGGTTTCAATAAAACAAAGACGGGCTTTGGATGTTGTGTAACAGCAGCAGTGAGTCATTTCAACGACCTTGATCGGAGCTGAAGAAAAGGGAGGCAAAAAATTAAAACTGTACGGTATTTAAAAGCAAGTATCTCACATTTTCGTCTTTTTTAACATTATAATGCATGAATGACATGAACTGTGTACAATAACGTCACCCTCCATCCACTTATTATTGCTCTAATACTCATACAATAACACACATGTTATTTGAACACACTGCTGAAAGATTTTTTTTCTTTTCAAATTTAAAATAACGTCTCAACTTCTTGCATGTGTTTGCCGGGGTTTCAACTTCAGGTGACACCACTGCCTCATCTGGCCAGAAGTTGGTAATTCTGCAAAAATGGAGCTAATTTATTTTTCATAACTACAATTTATGTATTACCAAAATCACCTGCTTTGTATTGTCAATAGCTGCCATTAAATAAACACACTAAAGCTAACAAGCTAATAGGACGATGCAATTCATAGGAAATCAAATTGTGTTTGATTTTTCACTAAAATTGTCTTGGTAAACTTAGAACTGGAAAATATACCAAATAATACAAACACTTCCACTGGAAAAGTCACTCAGCTTGTATAAAATGTCAACATGTCAAAATGTCATAACTGTAAAAGGAAATCATCACATTCAGGTGTAAAATAATATGTTTTATTATGATCATACATTTCCTAGGATCAATACAGAGCACATTTTGTGTTTAGTTAGCTGACTTTTTTTTTTCTCCAAAAGACAAAGAGGACAAATGTGTTTGATGTAACATGAAGGCGATTGGATAGTGACTTTATCAGCGGCGGATCATGAAAAACATTGAAATCAATGAAGCTGGATGTGGATCACAGAATAAATGTTTAAAATGAATTTGACAGTTTATGGCTCTGCGTCAACACAGATCGCTGCAGGGATGAAGAAGCCGAATCACGGTGCTCACTTCAAATGTCTTTCAAGGCATGTAAAACTTCACGGACGACTTTTATTCCAAGACCGAAGTTTGAACTGGTCTTTATCAACACAGGGCAGAGAAAAGACTGACGGGAAGATGGTGGTGTCCTGGAGAAAGACACATTAAGCCAGAAGAGAAACAGCTGGCGTTAGCCTCGTTAGCTCGGATGCAAAACACATGCTGCTGGTCTGCTCACCTGCTCACTGAGCAAAACTGTCCAGAAAATCTCATTCTTTTTCCCAATTTAGGCAAAAATTGCACTTTCTGGGTCTTCTCTCACAGCAACAATGTTACTATTTGGACAGAATCAGGTAAATTACTTTTTTTAAAAGAGAAAGAGATGTTTAATGTGAAAATTCGACACTAGACCAGAAGCCAGGGTAGAAATCATGAAATTGCAGTCCAAACACATTTTTCAGACTGGCCTCTACAGGGAAATCGGTCGAGGGATCTTTAAATTATTCATTGTAGTTCTGCAGCAACGGCGTAAACCTGTCTCTGTGAGCCATTATTTTAAACTTGAAGTGAGTTTCAGAGTTTATATTCTTTTACTTTTTGGCTCTTTATTGACTTATGCAAACAAGGCCCCTGTTTGTGTCTGAACGCTGGGAAAAGACAGATGGTCTGAAGGAACCCTGCTGAAATTAATTTCACAGCAGCAGCAACTTCAGTTTTACTGTGGATCAGAACACTAACAATTACCATAAATTACCATAAAGTAAGAAAAGAAAAAGTTGAAGTGAGCAAAGTAGGAAAAAAACAAGCTATATAAGAATTTTTAATCAGCAAAATATGAGGATTTCTATATGCGACAATAAAAGGACTTTATCTGTAACATAAACCTAAATGTTACATCATCTTAAAAAAAAGCCTCTAAGTCATTTGGAGAAAATTTTGAATGACACCAATATCTGTTTATTCCAGGAACAGAGTGATAAACAAACAAGCATACATTTCAAAATAGACTTTTTTTTACACATAAATATCAAATACAAAGGCGGGTGAGACAGAGCCTTGTTTACGTCGGTAAAGCTTTTGACCATGCAACGTTCAGTACCTTAAAAAACAACAACACAGGAACACAGCTTAGTCCAGCAGAGACATGAAACAATGTCAAATATACATGTATACACAATATAACAAAAATATCACCTTTTTACTGCGAGAGCACAATGGCATCATATATATTACAGCTGAATTTGTACCATTAGTCCAGCACATTAACATGTGTACAGGTAGCTTGAGGAAAGCAAAAAAAAGAAGCAACTATTGCGAAAAGTCAACACTACGAGGTCATCAGAAGTATTTAAATACGCCGTTCAAACAGAAGCTGTAAAAAATAATATACTCCGAATACATTTATATAATTATATACATTTACATAAAAGGTTAAATACTGATCATTCTGAATCCCTGGATTGTTTGAAAACATCCTTTGTCGATTTAGGCAGCTACGCGGTAAATGAGCTGTACTAACAGAAGCTTGCGGCTGCTCTGAAAAGTTGTGCTTCACATTTGAGCTGTTATTAATTCACGGTTTTTGCCAACAGCTGGGAGAAGCAGAGGGGGTTTAAAGGTGAAGATTTACATTTTCACTGTGGAGAAACAATATATTTTTTAGCCAAAGTTTTTAGCCCATGGTTGTCTAAAATGGGTTAGGGTTTTATTGAACTTTAACCTCTAAGCTTTTTACAACACTTACTGTAAATGAATTAGACAGGGAGCATGCTCGTAATTTCTCACTATAATGTTCCTCTAGCTAAGGTACTTAGACTGTGGTCAGAATTTCAATGTCAGAATGTGACTGATCTCCTCATCAAAGTCTTGGCAAACGAGTCCAAAAAAAAAAAAAAACTTCCCCTAATCTCTGAACTATTCCTTTATTAAACTTTGATATAATTCCCCACATGAAATGTGTTCTTCTGATTCAATGTTGAAACAAATCAGGAAACAAAGTCAATCCCCCTCTTATAGAACCAGTCTGATAGCAGAGTGTAGATAGGTGTTCAAACTTGACAAACAAACTTAAGCTTAATAAATTTCGACATATATTAGAAAATGACACATTTATTCGGCGGTTGTTCCTCCCTCCTTTCAGCCCACAGCCATTTAATTTTTACTGTGTTTCTATTGTGACCCTATCGTCTACCTCTTAAGTGCATTACTGTTGTATAACATTTCGTGTTTCATCTATAGGAAAACTCTCCGCAGCTGAAATTAGGAAAATAAACAGGACCCACAAAATATTGTCTCTGGATTTTTAAGGAGAATTTCTATCCAGCTCCTGGAATATCTAATTCCATGAATAGGAAGGGCAAAAGCCAGAAAATGTTGGCCGCAAAATTTAATAGTATTGTTAAAACAGAACATCCTTGTTTTGACCAAAGTATGCGAGGAGTGGCAGGACTCTGACTTTTTTTTAGCATTTTCCTGATTTGTTAATTCTGTCTTTCCTGTCCACACCATAATGCTAATTTTCCAATTCTGCCAAGAATAAGTCAAACACTGGTGTGTTTTGTTAAGAATGTGAGTGAAAAAACATTCTTTTCCTGGTAACTTTTTTCTGATTTAGTACCAGTTCGCAGTGTTGGATCTCAGTACCCAGGAGAGAGTCGTACCTCACAAAAGTAAATCTTTTTAACTGAAAAAATACTTTGACTAATCATTAAGATGATTCAACGTGAAAAGGAGATAATGTATTCAATTCCTGGATGGATTTTTTTCGTTAGAACCTGGGTGTACCACCTTCGCACAATTAAGGCACCTTTTAAACCCCTGAGGGGTGAATGGGTTCTTCTAATAAGAAGAGAAGCAACAATAACAACACGGAACACAGAACCAAACTCAACCAAAACATGAAGTTAAACAGTCAACAAATCAACGGAAAACCAAAACATTAGGAATGACTGTGGGTAAAGTACGAACAAACCAGAAGTGCCCTGTTACATTTTCTCCCATTTCATCCTCAAACGGTTTCTTACAGCAGCGGCGCCAGAGTGACCTCACAGGACCTCCATGGAAACACTGTGGCTGGATTTCTGAAGCATCTCAACTGGTATAGAAGGACCAACCTGAACCTGAACAGACTTTTCGAGAGAGTGTGTGTAGCTGTGTGTGTCTGCCGGCAGTCAGTATCCGATGTTAAGCTTGTTCTTGTTCAGTTCTCTCTCCAGGTTTCCTATCAGAGTGTCGATGCTCTCCTGCAGGTCTCTGAGGTTCACTCTGTTGCTCAGCACAGGGCTGATGTCCTGGATCTTCATGTAGGCCTGGTAGGTGTGCTCTTTGGGTAGCGGAGGAGGCAGGATGTGGTCGCACATCCTTTCCTCTTGCACCTCGTCTTCTAATATCTGCGTGTTGCCGGGAATATCATTTTCCAGATGCTTTTCTTCGTCCGTCCAATCCTCGCTCTCTTCGAATTTGACCAAATCCTCTTGTTGAGGTTGGTCCAGGTCTGGAGGATCACTCACTGGACATGTGTCCTTCTGCTCTACATTGTCCTGCACATCTTCGGATTTCTGCTGGCCGTCCTCCGCTGCCTCCGTGTCCTCAGAAGGCACGTCGTCATAGTCCGCCTCCTCTCTGCTGGAGGGCAGCAGTATTTCGGAGGGAATGTAACTCTCACCGCAGCCGCTCCAGTCGCCGGCGTAGCGGTTGCTGGGACTGTCCAATCGGCCAGGTTTAGGCCTCAGAACACCTGCCATCTCAGCCTCAGAGAGGTTCAGGAACTGGGGGCGCTCCTTTCTCCGGCGCAGAGGAGGAGCAGAGACCTGGTCCGATGGAGCCTGTAGCAGAGAGATTGCTGGAGTCTGAATGGACGACTGGCTGTATGGGTCTATAACTGGAGGAACAGAAGACAAGAGCAATGGTTACACAATATTCCAAGAAATTCCTGGATGGATCAACATTATGGGATCTTTGAGTAGGATGAAGGCATCTACATCACTGGTTTGAACAAGGGATGGCTCGATGTTGTCTGATAACTGTACTGCAACTTGTATCTGAGTATCTGCCAATACTGATATCGATCCGATACCTTCTTCTTTCCTCCAGCATGCCACGGGCTGCCAGTGCTGGGGCAATAGTGTCCATGTTTATGGCATGTTGTGACTTATCAGATCAAATGGACTGTAGTTGTTTTATTTGATGTTTGATCCTGAAATATTGACCAAGATTGGACTGATACCGATCTTGAATATCGGATTGAAACATCCCTAGTTTGAACCCCTGCGAAAACTGATGTTTTTCTGTATAGATTTTCCAGTTTTTAATGGGGAGTTTGAACCCCTGCGAAAACTGATGTTGATTTTCTAGTTTTTAATGGGCCGTTTCTCCAATGTGTGAATGGGTTTTTACCACCTGTGTGAATGGTTGTTTGTCAGTTTGAGCAAAACTGTCTTTGCCCAAACAGGACCCTCAAAATGGCTCCAGCTCTAACCGTTTTTTAGAAACAGCGTTCATAGATTGTTCCCAAAGTGAGATTTTTAAATCGCTATAGTGCTGTTTAGCCTTGCAGATATTTTTGGTACCTTTTGGTAATTTTTGAAACTCTCCGTCATGGGACATTTCAGTTTCCCAGTGCACTAGAAAACCATTATAGGCGTAGACTGTTGGAGGAACTCCCGTGGTGTGCTGAAGTTGTTGTAGTATTACTTTTGGTTAAGGATACCTGCAGCCCGCTCTAACCTAAAGTCAAACATGCCATGCTGTGCTCAAAGTCAAACACATGCTGATCCACTCCAACACACTCCTTCACTGTGGTGGCACAAAAACCCTACTGTAATAACAGGTCAATAGTCTGACTTGGTTACAGGTGGAACAGTGATCACTCCAGCACAACAAGGAGACGCTGGTTTAATGTACCTACAATTGTTGACATTGCAAGCCCTCACTGGCTGGATTGGAGAGGAACAAAAAACACACAGGACATGTCAAATGTAAGAGCTTAAGATTCTAAATAAAGAACATAAATGAATGCGGTTTTGTCTCCTGAGTCGATTACGAGTGATCTCAAAGCATTTTTGACTGACAGCTTTTTTCATTATCACATAAGAAACGATGATGGATGGCAGCCCGCAGTGGCCTCAGCTCATTCATCAGGAGTTGTGGTTGCTGATACAGTATTTACGTGAGGCAACAGCAGGGGCAGGACCTGCAGCCATCCCGAGGCTAAAGACTGGAGCAATTATCACTTAAAACAAACAGATATTATCCAAACCTCGGAGACACTGTGTTATTTAATCTCAGACATGATTCACTGACGGCGTGATTAAACGATTAAGCAGCAACAGAGAAAATAAAGACCGCAGGCAGAGGCAACATGACTGAAAAAAAAATTAACCTTCCAGGAAAAGGTACACACACGACTTGGACTTCTGCACCTGTCGACTAACTAACGGCTTCTTGTTGCCTCTGGTGTAACTTTTGCTCCTTTTGGCAGGAATTGGCGACTACAGAGTTTTGGCTAACTTGGCTGCTGTAATTAACAGGCTTCTTGTTGCCTCTGGTGTAACTTTCGCTCCTTTTGGTTTTCAGACACGTGTTGGAGTGCACAATGTTCGTCCTTGGACTTCCAAATGTGAGGATTTTGGTGTGGATATATGTTCCTGGTATAGCTATGCTTGTGGAGACACATGTAAAAAGTATTTCAGGACATTCTTGGGAAAATGGGAAATAAGGTTCAGAGTTAGAGTAGGGATTAGACCTGGGCGAATAATTGTATACTTAGGGGTCAGGAAAAGGGGCAAGAAGGTACAATATATGTATGTGAAGTACTCAGAAAATACATACAAAAAGCTGTCTGTTTGTGTGTGTACGTTAGAGAGAGAGCGAGAGAGAGAGGTGTAAAGTGGCCGCTGAAAATATCCCATAATGGTTGTGAAATGCTAGGGTAAAGCTTCAGGGGCTGAGGGCTAAGGTTAAGCCTGGAATGTCTTTAATTATAGTCCAGAGTTCCTACGCTGCAAGGACAGAAGACAGAATCACTCAGGGTGTAAACAAAGGATCGGACCTGGGCTGAACACTTCGTCAAGGTCATTACAGGTCGATTAAGACTAGGCTCCACACAATCAGGTGCAAACAGGTGCCTGATCTGGACGTCTGGTGGTTATTCATAACTCAACAAAATGGGTGGTAGGATTTTCTACAGAACTAAGTCGGCGTTATACCAAGGTTACGTACGTATGTCATGAGCTGCAGAGTTGAATTAATGCTGTTTGACTTGGCTTTAAGAACTTGAGTTGAATGTAAGAACACTAAATTAATGAAACTTCAAAAGTACATTTTAAAATAATTTCAGGTTGGACACTTTTGACTCTCACTGTTTTTCAGATCTTTACGCCAACCTCTGTCTCCTCGTGAGTAACCTTTTGGATCTCTTCCTGCCCGGCTGTGATCAGACAGCTGCAGCTGGTACACAGCAGCTGTGTCGGCAGACAGACAGATGATCTGTGCTGAGATGGGCCGCTACTGGGCAACTGTCCTTGGCTAGTGATTTATCTTAAGACCGAGGATGGACCCCGCCTTGAAGGTTTGGTTTACATTAGGGTTTTGGGCTTGGCCAGGCCGTAGATGAAGAGAGTTTCATCCCCGCAGGACCAACAGATGGCGGTCAGTGGCTATCAGCTGGACTAGTGCCAGGGGTGGATACCCTCGGGTTTCAAAGCAGCGCAGCCCTTTGTACAGCTGAACTTCTGAGCTGGTGCAGACACTTGGGATTAAGTTCAAACAGTACAAACAGAATCCGTTCTTTCAAGATGGGAGAACTAAAGTTCAAACAGTACAAACAGAATCCGTGACAGTAATTAATGTGTTCTTTCAAGATGGGAGAACTGGTAGCATTGACTGATTTAAGACAGAAACTGAAATAAACCAATCACCTGGCCACAGCTGCAGCAGGTAGTGCAGGACCTCGATGTGCTTCTTGAAGTGCAGAGCACTGGCCAGCTCCTCTGAGTCGATGAAGACGCGGTTGGTGTGACACGACGCCTCCTGACGCTGGCTTAGCAACACGGGGCCGAAACACACCGCCAGGTTCTGACAGGTCATCTTGTTGACGTCCTGGTAGGAGGCGACGAGCTTCAGGTGGTCAAGAAGTCTCCTCAGGGTCATCTGGTTTGGAACACACAACACGTTCACAGAAAAATGACAAGAAAAGAGAAAATTAATGTCATTTCATGAGAGGAAAATGGTCTGAGAGTCGCACCAAAAGTAAAGAGAATGGAATATATAGGTACAAAACACCAAATAACCCTAACCGTAAAACAAAAAAAATTATACAATGATAAGATGATAAAATGCCTTGGGCTTGTAAAAATGTCACATTCACTCTTTAGCAATATTTTTGACTTTCAATGTTCTAATATTATTTAATTGATTATTTATTTATATTGATTTTCCAGCTTAAAATACTTTTAAAATAAATCAGACCTTTAGAGAAACTTTAAAAGTTACAAATATATTATTTAATTACAGTGTGATGTTTCACATTATATATATTTAACCCCTGTTATCTGTTTTCACCACTTGGTTCTTTATTTGATCTTTGCCATTGTAGTTCACCTCCCGTGTTTTCCCGCCTTTCTGATTACTGACTCCACCCCAATTAGTTCCTCCTGTTTGTCGTTAACTCAGTCAGTATTTAAACCCTGCCCTCCGTCTGCTTCAGTTTAGTTTCTGCCTCTGTCTGTGCTGCTCATGAAAACACCAGCTCCTGTTTGTACTAGTTCTCTTGTCCTTTATTTTTTTTTCTTTTTGTTTTTTTGTTTTTCTCCTTAAGTTTGATGTGTGTTGTTGTTGAAATGTTGATGTGTGTGTGTGTGAACTAAATGTTTTTGCAACAAGAGATTTAGCCAAACCATGAAGTCATCTCTGTTGGGGCTTGCAGTACTTTAAATGCCAGTTAAACAAACAATGTCGAGTGAGCCTGGGTCCAGATAAGGTCCCAGCTGTCAGTGATCAGTAATCTCTTTGCCAAAGGCTTTTGAGATCCACTGGGTCATGTAGTAACCAACATCAGTTTGACATTGTTCCTGGGGGACCTGGGGGTGTCTGAGGACTGAGGAGTGAACAGCTGCCATACGTCATGTCACCTGCAGCTTCACAGAGACACTTTGTCACATATTCCTGGCAAAACCAGGGTTGGCTGTAGACTTGAACACACCAACGTATGAAAGTGAACATCGGGAGTTGATGTTTTACGACATTTAAGTCATTGTTTGGACTTATGCTGTTTGTAAATTCCCTGTAAAATCTTATCCAAAAACACAATTTACACAACACTGTAGTAAAACTAAGTACATACTCAACTCTTAAGTATACAGACTGAGCCTTAAATCAATTCGCTTTTGGGGGAACATGAATGCGTAACCCAATGCATGAAAACAAAGCAATACCAGTTAAAAACTGTGGGGGCAGTGTTGTGCAGAATAGCTTACTTGCAGTCATGTAAGGCAGCGTTCCCCAACGAACACCACAGCCCAGTTATTTTTTTTTTTTTACAAATTCAAATGATTTGACCAACATAATGGTATTTTTCTCAGTATAATAATAGACATTAGCCTCTGTGTGTGCAACTTCATTAGCAGCGTCCTCGTAACATTGCACTTTTCTTTTAATGCAGAACCTTTGGTCTCATTGGAACATCATCGCAACGTCCTAGCGTCGTCTTGTTTGTCATTGCCTATCTTAAAAAAATTGCCACAGAAAAAAATCTGCTCTCAGTGCTGCCCCCTGGTGAATTTATTTAAAAATCATGCCAAACAAACGTGGGAGGTTTGTAGGCAGTGAAGTTTCGCGTGGGAGGTTTGTAGGCAGTGAAGTTTGAAACAGAAGGATCTCTTCACAAACAAAGGGTGCGAAAATGAGGCGTAGCGCACCACTAATATCACCCAACGCAAAAAGTCTACGTAACAGGAGTCCAACAACAGTAATTTCTCCGTCACTGCCTTTATTATCTGCACCACAATTACCCCTTTCACAAACCACTTTTGTGACACTATTGTTCCGTCATAAAGACTGAGACTCAAAGGGTGGATGTCAGCTTATCCTCCTCACCCTCTCCACCTCCGGCAGGTTCTCCAACAGGCTGGTAGTGTGTTCCGAGTCGGCGTGGTCGTTCTCACAGCCCGCCGTTCCCATACGCAGAGGCCTGGAGGCCATGGACTCCAACACGGCTTCGTACAGCTGCTTGGTGATCAGAGGGTAGGGAAGCTCTCGTAGGTAGTCCTTCAGTACGCCTGAACAAAGAGAGGGAAGGGAGAGAGAATATCACATGAGAGAGGGCGTGGACGTCACAAAGAGAGGGAAGGGAGAGAGAATATCGCATGAGAGAGGGCGTGGACGTCACATCGTTCTACTCCGAGTTTAAAAATATAGTTTAAATCTCATGCTACGTTTTTTTTTAAACGAGAACTCTACGTTCTAAAGTTTGGTGAGGTGACTCGGTGGCATCTGTCGGAGTGCCAGATTGGAGTCAGACCTGACTCTGGGCAACCAGAGGTGATTCCAAGGCCTTGTGTCTGTGACAGTGCTTTCACACCTGTGACCTGCCACGCCCACAGTGCAGACAAAAGCAACGTGAAAACATGAAACCCATGCTGTCTGTCTGTGCTAAGCCCCTCAAATATCGCTGGCATGTCTTTTCTTCAAAGGCGAAGAGGGTTAAAAAAAAGAATAAATAGAGGAATAAAAAGGCTTGTTGGCTGCGTGACAGCTCTTTGTGGTGAGTGCATGCTCTGTTTTTCCTCTGCGTGAAGACGGATCAGTTTTCAGACAAGGCTCCAGGCTGTTATCTACAATATTGGTTATGGTCCAAAGCAATATACACCGTGAATGTGGAGAGACATTAAATTACATCTGAAGAATCGCCATTATCAAATAACCTACATATTTAGTTGATGGTTGAGACCAAACCCTGGTCTGATCACGTTCTGTTGCCCCCAGTATACGTGCTCCTAAAGTCCACATCTATAACAAAGGATTAGGAGAAGAACTGAACTGATCGTGACACCAGCTAGAGCAGTGTTTCCTAAACATTTCTGTGGACCCATATTTTAAAAGTCACAAACCTTTGCGACCCAAGACAATAGACATTATTCGTAAACTCCTGGGAAACGTAATGCGAGACGACCCCCAAAAAAATTTCTTGTGACCCACCTCAGGGTCGCGACCCAGTCTTTGGGAAACAATGCGTCCAGTGTCCATGTTACCTGACCTAATCCAGCTGGTCACCTACTAGTTGTCAAGCAATAGCCATGGCCGCTCATCCACCCTGTGTGTTAGACTGTAATAAACCATTCACATCCAGTCATTTCTTATTACATTCCAACTCTTGATTCAATCATCTCTTCAGGAACACTAGGAACTATTTACTGGGCCAACAGTCACTAGAGACCGAGGACATGGAAAAGTACATAGAAACTAGGGATGGCTCAATACAGGTTTCTCACGATCTCCGATACTGATACTGCAACTTGGAGTATCTGCCGATACAATATCAATCTGAAACCTGCTTTTCTCCTCCAGCGTGCAGGCCTCTTCTGTTTTAGCGTAATTTAGCATTTATGAATGTTTACTTTACGGATGGATTCTCAGCTGATTTGAAAAGGAGCGGCTGTTGGCTTAAGACTCACTCTCTGCAACAGAAGTGTTTTTGGCTTAGGTATCGGTCGGACTCTTGAGTTTTTTTTTTCCCCGATATTAGGTGCTGAAATTTTGACCAATATCAGACTGATACGATCCAGAGTATTGGATCAAGCCCTAATAGAAATTAACAGTGTAAAAAGTGCTTAAACTACGTGAACAGCCGTGGCCTAAGACTTGTGAACCCCACTGTTCACATATATGTGTGGTGGCAGTGTACATCAACAGCCCTACACCACCTAATGCCTCTGCATGTGTTTACATCTGCAGTGCAGCTTCTCCCCTGCTCAATTACAAACTCCTAGAAACTCTCGACGCTTGAGCAGCAATCCGATCACACTGTAGTGGAGGTGTAATCGCCACTGCTGTGGCCTCTGATGTAACACAGACGTGCTCAATCACTTCTGCCATTCAGGTTCAAAATAACCCCTGAAGCCGGAGCGGGAGGATTTCCTTCCCCTGATGAGTCAGGATCATGTCCACTGTGACTGCAGGGATCACAGTCATGTCCCGGTGTCTTGGTAAACATAGAAAGCTGGCCACGTATGTGTGACCGTCCTGTTCTGTGCAGGGACCAAAATAGTCATTTAATCTCTCCGGTGCTGTAAAAGGTACTGATTAGGTGATGGAAATAGAAGTCCAGGTCGTAGCTGTCAGGAAATCAGTGTGTCAGATGTTTTTCTTTACCTCCTGTCTTCTGTTTACATAGAACAGCAAACAGATTCAGAGTAAATCCACAAACATGTACTTAGTGCAGTAGGAACAACTTGACTGGCTTTTAATCCCACTCTGCTGTAGGACTAAGGTATTACTGCTACATATTTCTGAGTACACGGTGCTGGACTTGGTTCAGAATTCCATGGGAGGCAACTTGGTTTTTGACGAAAGTCTGAATTTGCATTCTGTACATAAGTACTTATGTCACTCATCTACGTTTACCACAGTGGTACTGTCATAATCCAGGACAAAGAGGAGGACTTGAAAAATCCTAATCTGGAATTATTATTATTGAATTAGGAGCTAAATGCAGTAAATCAATTCATTATTGATTCAGCCACTGGTATTTGTTTTTGGGTTTACTGTAGACAAGAAAGACTAAAAGAAAAAAAAATTCTTTGGATAAAAAAATGTCTTTCACATTAGGTTCTGTTTGATGTATGAGTTTTCATTTCCTCAGTCTATCAATTCAGTTTTTTTCCTTTTCATCAACGTGAAACTTTGTAAATATAATGTGTATATAGACCATAACGACTGGGGAATACTGGTGCAGCTGTTGCTTCTGGTTTGGGAGAAAAACAACAACATCCTAGAAGAGACACTGCCCTCCTGTGTCACCTCCATCCTCCCCCCACCGCTCCACCTCAGGCACAGGGACATAATGACACCTCTGTGTGACAGCAGCATCAGACTCTTACCTCAACACAGTCTCAGTCAAACAGGCTCTTAAAAACTAATAAAAGGTCACAGCAAATAAACACGTCCCCTGTGCCCTTTCCGCCTGCATAGCTGGGTGTCAACAGGTTTCCATTTAGTGTTTAGCCCTGATTCAGACGCTGGAATGCTCCTGTTATCTGTGCTTTCCACCAGGTTTGGTTTGAAACATGTTCCTGTTCCTGTACACACAGACAGGATACATTCATTCTGGTAAAAAAGCCATCCGCAC